TAAGTGCTCTGGGAAAAGGAACCCCAGAGATCTTTCTCGCCCTCTTTCTGCAACCAAGAGGAGGGCTCTCAGTAGAACCTCCAATCTCAGAGTCTGAGCCTCTAGAACTGTGAAAAATAAATATTTTAGTTTATAAAGTACCTAGTCTGTGGTACTTTGTTATTGCAGCCAGAACTGATTGAGACAAGGGTGGAGCTGAAGGGGCTACAAGCAGTTCTTGGGTAGGTAGAAGGGTTTTCTGTGACTTCCTGTAGCCTCTGTCAAATGATGGAAAGGAACATCACAGCAAGCAGCCAGCTGCTTTTGGAGGAACCTGCCGGGCCTCACAGGCTGTTGCTCAAACAAGACACCGAGGACCAAGTGGGCCCTGCCCAGCTACCCTCACACCTGGGCTCAAAGGCCTGACCGTGTGAGCCTCAGGAAAGAAGGCTTCCACTTTTAACCTTGAACTCTCCTCCCAGAAATGTCCCTTGCTTGCCTCAGTGCTCTCCTTGGAGAAGGGGACTCCATGAAACAGGTGGCATTTTATGGATTTCCAGGGGTGTCATGGGTGGTGCACGGTGGGGCCCAGTGAGGAGACTGTGGACTCATAGGTAGGCAGTATAGGAAATTTTCACTCACATACACATGATATCATTATTTTTATTATTTCACCTAAGAATCCATGTAGGTTATACATATAGGAAACAGAAAAGAAAACTAGAAATAAGACAAAGCTTATTGAGACTAGAAAATGAATCAACAAAATGTGTCATATTTCACATATTATGATACAGCAGTGAAAATTAATCAGACACAGCTACTTGAAACAACACGGATGAACGGAGAAGTACAATATCCGATAGGAAAAAAAAAAAAGGCATGTTTCAAAAAGACTACACACAGCCCAGTGTATTGGTGGATAGCTGTAATCCCAGAAACTCGGGAGGCCAAGGCAGGAGGATCTTAAGTTTGAGGTCAGCCTCAGCAACTTAGCAAGACCCTCTTTGTAAACTAAAGAGTAAAAAATAAGAAGGGCTGGGGGTGTAGCTCAGTTGCAGAGTGCCTGTATTCAGCCCCCAATAGTGTAAAAAAAAAAAGAGAAGAGAGAGAGAGAAAATATAGTTTTAAAATATAAAAAAACTTACATGCAGTAGTATGTAGAAAGACTGATATAAGCAAAGCTTGTTTAGGAATGCATATATGTGGATGAAACCATTCTTTAAAAAGCAAGGAAATCATATACCCACAATTAAGCAAAAGAATATAGTATGGGAGAAGCACCAGGGTTCGTTCCTTCCCTGGGCAATGGGTTTGTGAGATTATAGTCCATGTGGCATTATGACTTAGATCTGGGTTACATTATTCTATTATGTTAATAGTAGAATAATAATGAGATATTATGTTAATAAGATCAACAAACAAATAAGTAAATATCTGTAGTCATGTCGATTTACCTGGGCAAGATAATTCAAATTTCAGTGTTCAAAAGGCCAGAAATTATCTAACCCAAAGCCCTAATTTTATATACTTCCAAAGAGAATTGGCCACTGCTCTGGTTTGAATCTGGAATGTTCCCCCAAGGGCCCTGGTGTGAAAGCCTTGCTCCTCAGCTTGGTGCTATTGGGTGGTGGTGGAATCTTTAAGAGGCCCGCTGGGAGGTTTGAGGTCACTGTGGACGTGCTCTGGAAGAGAGTGTGGGTCTCTGGTCTCACTCTCTTTCTCCTTCACATCCTGACCATGAGGTGGGTGGCTATTTGCTCTGCCAGGCACTTCCTGCCCCCGTAAGTTGTCTCACCACAGACCTAAAAAGCAACCAGGGTCAACAGACCATGGACAGAAACCTCCCGAACTATGAGCCAACATAAACCTTTTCTCTTTATAAGTTTATTTATTGCAGGCATTTTTTCCCCCAGTCATAGAAAGCCGATTAGCGTAGCCACATGTGCAGAAGTCTTGAATGACGCAGTGGAGATGAGAACTCCTGTGTGACATCACTCAGTCCACAACTGCTCTTTTCATACTCACCCTCGAAAAATATTTTTTCTCCTCCCTCTTCTTTCTCCTCTTCTTCCTCTTGACCTTCTCCGTCTTCCCCTTCCTCTTCTTCTTTGGGAACAAAGCCACACTTACCTGGCCCGCACAGCGGGTGGATTTAACACCTCTGATCCAGGAGAGAAGGAGTCGTGGTCCCAGCAAAATCAAGTTTCTTCCTGGATAAGTCATCTTTGCAAGGACTGGCTGATTTTGACCAAGATGCATCCATACTAAAGTGTTTAGAAGTGGACTTCATTTGTGGCTCTTTGCTTTCTTAAAATAAAATAAATGGCAGCCTGGACACCTACGGGGTTAAGTATGTTTTCTGTAATTAAGATTTGACCAGCATTTTGAAATGTGGATGTGAGTCAGACTTGGCCTTCCCGGGAAGAGAAAAATGTCTGTTCCGATGAAGCGCTCATTCCCACCAGTAATTTAAATAAACTGTTGCCATTCATGAAAAAAAAAATTGATGATGTAACACATCTATGTATTTTACTTACTTAAAATCAAATACTTGCCTCCTTTCCTCTACCTCCCCACCAAAAAAGAATTCTAGAGAACAATTTAATGAGTCTAGGCCATCTGCAGTGGGTACCCTGAAATGTGGAAAGGGATCTCCCAGTGGCCTGCATTCACCACACGCACATCTCGCCACGCTGAGGGGATCCCGCTGTTGAAGACCATGCATCTCATTTCTCTAACACAACGTTTTCCTGCTTGCCCCTCAGTTCCATAACCATAATTTCCCCCATACTGGAGGAAAGCGGGCTGCGCCGGACCTCCTAAGGAACCATGTTTTGTGAATTATCTTTTATGAATGATGTATGGAGTTTCCATGGCCTGATAGCCACTAGAGCTATTTGCCTGCTACCCCCAGCTTTCTTCCTAGGCACCTGGGAAGGTTTCACTTCCTCGGCCCCTTGAGGTCAGGCAGAGCTGTGTGACTTGCTTTTGCCACTGAAATATGAGCAGAGGTGAGGTACATATGTTCACGGGGAAGCTCCAAGAGTCAGTCAGGGATCCTCATGTTCGTTTTTTCCTGTGTTGGTAACTGCAGGAACATGGAGATGGAGCCTCCCTTACACTTCTGGCCCGGTTTGGGGGTGTTCTTCTTCCCCACGCCATCCTATTCCACCCTACCCCACCCCCACCCCACCCCCCAAAAAAAGTTCATGTGCTGGTAGCTTTGTTCCAAGTGTGAGTTTTTGAGAGGCGATGGACACTTTTTAAGAGGTGGAACCTAGTGGGAGGTAATTAGGTCAATGGGGAAATCACCTTCAGAAGGGATTAATGCCCACCCGCAACTTGAGTAGTTTTCATGAGAATATGTTGTCATGAAGCACATGCTTGGCCTCTTGTCCAGGTTCCCCTGGTCACTCTTGCATGTATTTCCTCAGTGTGATGCCATCTGCCATGTTATGATGCAACATGAGGCCCTTGCCAGATGTGGACACCCAAACTTGGACATGTCAGCCTCTAAAACCATGAGGCAAAAAAACAAACCTCTTTTTCTTATAAGGTACACAATCTCTGGTATTTTATTGTAGCAACACAAAATGGACTAAGACATTCCCTGGGGATATCAAAGAGCAGATATCGCCCAGCTTACTGGTGGTAGATATGTTACTTGAGTAAAAAATAAACTTTGGTTGTTTTAAGCCCCTGAGATTTGTTGAGCTAGCCCATACTAGCTCGTTCACTGATTATATGCCATTTTCCCCCCAAACTACTAACTTCAGATAATTATATGTAACCCCACCATGTATTCTAAGCTTCCAAGAAAACATTCAGTATATTATAGCCTTCGGTCCATGCATATCTTCAGAAAGACCCTTTCTATGTATCCAACAAGAAACTAAAGTGGGAATTGAAGAAGAAGCAACCACCAAGAGAAATTGAAGTCCACATTTATTGATGAGAGATATATACACAAAAGTTAAAACACTTAGTGAAATATTGGATTCACAGGTTATTTCCAGCATATAAAGAATATCCAGTTGTTTTACACATGAAATGTTACATTAATCAGTCCACTCCAAAAGAAAGCTTGGAAAGCTAAAGGCGAAAATGTAAGACCTCAAATCCCCCAAATGTGCTTTGCCAACAAGGCATTTCCTAGTACCATACGTAACAAACAATCCCAAAATTAGTTGAAGTTTTATCTTTTTGCATTCATTAGTACCATGTGCTATAGATGTTGTATGCTACATGACTTCAGACCAACAGGAATCGTGAACATGAGGGAAACTATGATTCTTGTCTTGGAGTTACAAGAATCTTCAAAGATAATCCTGGCTCAAGGCTTGTTTCTTTCTGCAAGTTTTCAATCTGAATTGGAAGAAGCCACATTTTCAAAGAAAAAAAAAAAAAATCTGTCCAACCACCGTATCCCCTCACTCCACTTAATCTGCAGAAAACACTGCAAACGAATGTGCTTCTATGCCCTTGTGAGCTCAGGCCTCAGTCCTTTGAGAAAAGAGAGAGGCACTCAGTGTTCCCCCACAGCACATTGCTGTTTCTTCTCTGTTCTTAGGGAGGAGAAAGGGATTAGAGGAACTACAGAACTCCTAGCATGGCATTTAGTGGAAATTAGACAGAATGTGTGTTTTCAGAGACAAAGGTGTAATTGCATTCATTAATCTCATCTTCAGTCATTCCAAGCATACACCCGAAGCCTACTGGGTAGAGAGGTCAAACTCCCTTCACATATATGGGAAGTTGGCTCTCAGCAGTCCCCAAGACTGCAAACTGACTGACCCTGTGCTTCTAGGGCTCTCTCTTTCTAAAACTGTGCTGTTTGATGCCCAAACTGTGCTTTTGTGGGTTTTCACCTGAATGGCAGTTAGTCAGAAAATGTGTTTCCCATATCCTCAATCAAAAGGCCAAGGGAGACTAGGCTCTTCAGAACCTTCAGAGCATGCGCATCGTGACTGAGTATTTGGCAACCAGAGAGAATGATTCTTCCCTAAAGACACGATGCTCACATGCTTGGGAGCCTACCGACCTTTTGTCTCAATGAACCTGATCCACCAGATGCAGGAGGACTGCAGGTGAGTGTCCTCATTCCGTACCTACCTAAGCCAAGACAATCAAAAGCTCCCCCACTGCATTCACCGTGTATTATACCCATATCACATGACCTTCCCTAAGAACCAGACCAACACATCTGACCCATCCCTGCTCTGAAAAGTGTATTGACAGAGGTGCTGGACACCCACAGACCTTCACACAATCATTACTAGAAAGGATTCATAGAGAAGTTCTTCATTCAGATATATCCTCAAATGACATTGAGAGGAGAAATGACTCACTGCTTCTAGCTTCTAAGAAGAAAAAGAAGGGTTTTTAAAACACAAATCAACATGTCTAATTGCATTTAGATGAACAGCCAAAAATAACATTTAAATTAAATTACAATACATCTATACACCATTTCACTGAAATTACACTTAGATACCTACATTATAGCTACACAAAGTGCTTAGGCACTGTTCTTCATGCGTGAACCAAGTATCAGCGTGTACACACAAGAACTTCATGCTTTGACAGCTAGCTGTACTTGAAAACGGATACAATCTTAGCCAGTTGAGGACACATCTAATTTGTGTGCTTAATGAGGAGCAGGGTAAACTACACACTAGTATGCTTTCTATGTGACTGGCTACTTTTTAAAATGGGAGAAAAAAAAAAAACTAATCCTACCACCCTATCAGAAAGTATGTTTGGCAGAGGAAAGACACCTCATCTTTTCAGTGGCTAGTGATTTACCACTTCCCTTTTGGGAAAGTTACATAGTTTGTTATTCACCTGAGGACAAAAATCTACCTGGGCTTTTTCTAAACAATTTCAGTGTGACTCTAAGCTCCCACCGACAGCCCCCAGTGACACAGCATTGCTTCATTGTCAGTATTAAAAAAAAAAAGTTTTCAAATTTTCCTTAAAAATATGTGCTCAATTCATATAACAATGTGATATTTACTAGCATTTCCCTTAGCAAGAATTAACTGCAACAAATAGCTTTCCAATTTCCTTCCTAGTACTCAGTCTTTGCTACTCAAAGTTTTCCCTAAGCCAGATTTCATATAAACATTTAGAGGTAGGGGAGATTCTGATATAAAAATGATCCTGCTATTATCATCTTGCCTTTGATCATCTTAAAGACCATCAAAATTAGAATGCTTAGCTGGAAAAACAAGGCCTGGTGTCAAAAATTCAAAATCAGCACCATTCCTTGAGTTAGAAAGATTGTTTAGATGCACGTCCTAGCAATCTAAGGCATTTGAGTAATCCTTTGTTCTTCGTGGACATGTTCATTGCATGGCTAAGAATGGGTCCTTCGATTTTTGAAATGCGGTGATATACTCAGGAAAGAATTGATAGCTCTAAATTGCTGTAGAAACTTCTTGTGCTCTAGTTATAATTCTATATATGTGGTTATATAGAAAATACCATAAGAAAATATCTGTCTGCAAAATTACAGATACTAAATAGATTACTTCAGTCTATACTGAGTTCTTTATGATTTCTGAAGAATAGATACAAATGTATAGCATTATGGAAGGCTAAATTAATATTAAACATATAATTTCCATGACTATAAATACATTTTCTCGTGCTTTTATAAATAATAGCAAAGAGGCATGGGGATTTGTTTAAGAAAAAAAAATGCAAGACTGAGCTAAAGTGATTCGTAGTTTTTGGGGTGCAATACTGATGAGAGGACAATATATTGTCCCTGGTACCATAGATTCTTACCAGGAAGACAAAATATATCCGCTGGCAGCAAGATAAAATTAGATTCACAGTGTGCCAGCTCTTTCCTCAAACTGTAGAAAACAAATAGAAAAGGAATATACAAAAATTCTCAAAAAAAGTAGCTCTTTTATATACAAATCTCTCTAGTGATCAGATAATCTGATCTGAGTTGTGCAACATGGAGATTGAATGCTAAGCTCTTCCAGGGAGAGGAGGACAAGAGGGAGTGAAGGGGATCTGTAGAAGAATCTAGATGCCAAAGGATGAGTTCCTGCTCAGGAAAGAAACCCTCACGGAGCGGTAAGCCACCCAGGAGACCACTGTACATCTCAGAGGATCTATCTGTCCCATGCGGGGGGAACCTCAGAGATGTGCTGGACAAACTCCCTTGATTGGTGAGTGTATCTGCCCCCTACCAGGGGCTATTTCTGGGCAGGCTAACTGGTACCTGGGAGAAGAAACTGTGACCCAGAAGTAGCAAGACTCTGACTGCATCATATCCATCTCCACAGGGGAAGATGACGAGGGTTCCAAACCTCACCCAGGGATGGGGGATGTCTCCCAGGAGCCTGGGACCTGTGGGTACCCACAGCAAGGTCTGTTCCAGTAGTAGGTTTCATTTTCAGCACAAAAAAAAGTCCCTGAATAATAACCAGGACTTTTAAAGAATATCAAAACAGATACTTGGCTCAAGGGCTAGAAGGTGAAGCAAGGCTGGACATAGAGACAGAACCTGATTAGTAATTATTCAGGGTAGTATTTAGAATGAATGGAATAGGACCTGAAGGGCTTCTTTCACTTTTTTACAGTTTCTTAAATGGGTTGATTAAGAAACTGTTTATCTTGCTGCTTTTGCATCAGGTCTTCCATGTTAATGGAAAAAAAAAATCAAAGCAAATGATAATAACAAAAATACTCAATCCTTTCAGTCCCAGCTTTGTGTCTGTCTCCCCCGAATGTGGAGAGTTGAAGCCTTTTCTATCCATAAAGGTAAGTCACCACACAAGAAATACAAACCCTACTCTGTATTAGCAGAGTTTGGAAGAAGGGCAAAGATGCCAGCAGTGGCCCACTGCAACAATAGCAAAAAAGTGCAAGAGGTTGCTTAAAGGTCGTGGCTTGTGGCATGTACCTTGCAGACCATGCACCATACCCCATCCACTCCGAGACTCTGCAGGCATCCAAAAGGGTAATGATGGTCTGTGAAGTTAGAGGTTCTCTACTGTGGTGATGCCCGCGGGGAAAGCAAACCAAGCAGAAAATTTGAAAATGAATTCAACAAAATCTCCCTGCACATCCCTCTAGAGAAAAGACGTAGCCCCACTTACTTGTGAATGGATGTGCATGTCTGCACCCACACAGAGCAGGCAAGGTATTTACAGACAGTCGCTGTGATTGTGTAAGTCTTGCACCAAATTTCATGAGTGTTCAAGTTTATTTGCCAAAGGCTCCCAAATTCCCATACTGGGTTGGCAATTAGGACTGTCTGGAGAAAACTATGTGGTTTGGGTATTTGGAGTGGGCTCTGTTGCTACAGCAGGGATGATGCAAGAGCTTGGGTACAGCTGGAGACAGGTCCGGTCCCTCCTGCCGATGATGGCAGCATGTTCCCTGAGCTGAATCCCTACTGCTACTAGGAAAGTGAGTTTAGGTAAAGGGACCTTTTACAAAATGTTTATCAGGGTCTCAACACATCAAACTGCAGATTGACATGGCCACCTTCCAAGCTTGTAGGAAAGCATAACATGAATTCAATTTCTCCCAAAGGGGATAAGAAAAAAAAAAATCTACATTCTTCATTATCATGCCCCCCCCCGACTTAGAGTATAAATACGTAATATTTTATAGTAGTAAGCCTCTTGTGAAAGAAGAAAATAAAGCAGAGATTGTAATACCGTGGATTTGTAGGATTGAAAGGGGATTTAAATCATTTAATCCAACCCCTTCACTTTTCATATGGGAGAAAATGAAGCTTGGGCATAAAGTAGCTTGTGTAAGACATTCAGCTAAAGATGGACAGAGTCTAAATTAAATATTTCCTCTACCAAATCATGTTGTTTCTCTCATCTCTATGTCATTGCCTGAATTAGTTATTTTAGGCTGTGAAATTAGATACTATTCAATTAAGATTCCCTGTTATCTGCTTAAAAACTAATCTCTATACTAACCTGTATTTATGGTCACTTAATTGTTTCATGAGCATCGAAATAAGAGGAAGGACGAGGAAGAGGGAAAACTGGGTTTTCTTTTAGGGAAAATCATAAGCTAATGTTTCATGAGTGTCTTTGAACTCACTCCACTCAAGGAGAATCTTCTGACTCTAGTGCCACCTACCTGACTGGCACACAGTGACCCTTCTTCTAGAGCTAGCCAGAACCTCCCACAGATGCTGAAACTATTAATCTTCTCTGACAACTAGATTTATAAAACTCTCACTTGAGTCTTTGCTTTCAATTAATCTTCTTATGCCCCTAGATCTAGGATCCTTATTCAAAGAGTGAGTATTACAATAACTGAAAATCCCATTTGGTGCTTTATCTTTGCCTGGAATGAGTTCAGCTGGACATTATACAAAGCAAAACCAGCAACCCAGACAACTAACTGGTCCTCAGAGTTCAAGAGCAGCAAAGTGGGAAGAACCACCCTCCCCCAGGGTGTAACTGCTGTGCACTTTTAGTCATCAAATCAGGCAAAAGCTGTCGAGACTTGTTTTTTTTAAGAGTGAGAACCAAGGAGAATTATCTCTGAGCATGTGCATACCTACATGGATTTATTGCTGTACTCCATGGGAAAATACTGCAAAGGCAGAAGCCTTAATTCTGACAAAGGTGAAAAATTATAACAAACTTTCAAAGGGAAGTGTGATATTTGCAAAAAAAAAAAATATGACAGGGATCGTTTTTCTTTGGGGGACCCAATAGAGAAGTTTCCCAACCACTCAATTCTGAAAGGGCCTCTTGACTAGAAGTACTTGCAAATGACATCGTTCTCCATGCATGAGTGGAAATGACCTGAGACCCAATCAACCGGTCATTGGGATTCCTGGCAGCACCTACCAGGAATTCCCCCACGAACAGAATTCCTCCCAAGCCCTTCTCAGCATCCACAAGCCTAAATCCAGGAGGCAGGCATTTTGGCATGTTCTCTTTAAGCTTTTGTGAATACTCAGGCTGACTAGTGGGTAGGAGGGGAAAATAAATATTTGTCTTTTATAGGAAATGGTAACTGCTACAGGCAAGGACATCACAGCCTGCCTCTGTACCCAATAGGAATTTTTTCAAAATGGAATTCAATAGCTTCCTAAAGTCACTTAACATCCTTTATCAAGGAACTGTGCTCTTAGGTGCAGATTTCCTTATTTTATTTTTTTTACATAGGTCAGGAGCACAATCTTGAAAAAAATCTAGGGTCAAACATTAGCCTGAAAGATAAGCCATCCTTGTCATTAACTGATTTGGATCTCCTGAATTATAGTTAATCATTAGGTGATGATTCTACTTGGGTTTCCCAAAGGGTAAACTGAGAAAAAGAAGGACTGATGTCTACGTGGGTGGTTTTCTCCTGAAATAATTCTGATTCCTGCAAAGATCAAATGACCCTACAACAAATGCTGTTGCCAAAGCTCTGACTCGCAAACTTTACAGGATGCGGTATGTGTCCCTGTCCTGCTGTGTCCATTTGTGGCTATGTAACATTTATGCTTCATCAAACATTGACAGACTATTATATGCATTCATCTGTGATGGCTCTATTAGAATAAGTCTATAACTGACAGGTATTCCATTTAGATAAAGGCTATTAGAGGTATACTCTGGATCTGTTCGCACTGTTTATGGCACATATTCTGGGCAAGAGAATCCCTAATGGGCATGGCATGGGAAGAATGAATGAGGCCTAAAACACCACAGGATATAAGTCACATGACAACTTTACATACATCCTGGAAATTCAGGCTAGTCTTGAATTTGGTCCATTGTTTACTTTTAATGATTTATTGAATTTACAGATAAGTGTGATCTCCTGAGTATATTCTCATGAGACAATGCCTACAGCCTCAAACCAGAAAAGCCTGCTTTGTAAGGCTGCCTCTTGTTTCTTCTGAACACATTATCCCCTTATCTATTCATGGGTTAAACAGGATAGCAAGAAAAAAGCTTAGGACAAAAGAAACCGGAGTGATTTTCCAATGCTTTGAAAAACCACCTACTAGTGACTCGTTGGCCCTCTACAGCAAAAAGCAGCAGGCTCCTAGAGGCCTCGCCTGGATTCTTCTACTTGGTGTAAAAAAAGCTCTTGGGATTACCACTTAGAGACGATCCTAAACAGTTTCACAGCTAAACCCTGGGACTGTCCCATTGGCTACCAGCCTACGGGACATCTGCTATAAAGGAGGTACAGTCCACTACTACATTTGAGCATGTCCTTGGCCACCCTGTTAACTGGTCATCTAATGGAAAGGAAGACCCACATCATTTTTTAAAAATCTGCTAATACTGCTCCATAGTGATCTTTCCTTTTTTTTTTTTTTTTTTTTAAAAAAAAAAGGGTTTAAGAGACAAGACAGGCAGAATCTCATAATCTTTTGTAGGTTCCAAAGCTGTCCTATTTGGGAGACAGAAGTCACAAGCAGTAGATCACTAAGGATAGGTGATTCCAAAACCACCTTCTCCTCAGAGAATTGGGGTTCTAGAACTACCATAGCCCTCTGCTGGCCTCGGATGACACACCCTACTCCCGCCTGTGGACTGAGGTTCACCTTCTCCTTGGAGTCAAATGTGCCTTACTTAATAACTCAAGTCCCCAGCTAACTCCCAAACCCAGCCACCTTAGAGGAATACTGTGGGTGACTCAGTAGGAGACAGTAGCAGAGGCATTCAGCCTTCAGCTCGCATAACCAATCTTTAAGGTCATGCTGGCTGCCTACCACAGGCAAGGCACTGGGCTATGCCAATTAGATTATGGATTCCTTCAGACTCCCACAGCCTTGAAAGAGATTCCATCTGGGAAGCTGTGTGGAGCCTCCTTTGTTGCCACTCTGTGGTTCAAGGCTGCCTGGACTCTGCCATAGGAATGCCACCTGTGCAGGATTGTGCGTGGCTGTTTGTTTTCTGTTCCGTTCCCACCGAGGAGGGAGACAGGTTCTGCTTCCAACTGTGTCCTGTAACTGGCTTTATGTGCTTTGATACAACAATAAGCTTTCTACATATTAGATATAAGTGCCAAGACGTGGTATGGAAAGGGGCATGGCCAACACAAGCATCCTCTGTGTGCCAGGAGGACAAAATGAGAGGCCAGCTGGGTGAATGTGATAGGAGCAATTTGGGAATGGAAACTACCTTTCTGGTTAGAATCCCAAATGAGAACCTTATGGGAAAAACAAAGAAAGCAAAACACAGATGGATGGAAATCAATCTCACTTGATTTCACTGTGTCAGGTGAGTGCATAAATGAATTTGAATATTTAAGTCTGATTAAAATCCATGGCAACTGTGCTCCCTTAATTTTGTCAATAGATGCAGTGGTTAGGCCCAAGATGCTTTCTAATCCATTATCAAACTTAGAATTATGACATATATATATATATTGAAATTTCAACTATTATTCATACAGGTGTTCTAGAATCTCCAAATTGCATGAGATGGAGAGGCAATGGGTTCCATGATCAGCCACACTGAAGCGTGTGGCTTCCACTAAAATTCTGGAAACATTTAACTTAAAGGGTGCATGAAAGATAAATTGTCCAAGTTCCCTAAGAGATATTTGCTTTTAGTCTCAACATGTGCAAACTCTACAAGACATTGAAGGGGAGTTACTTCTAGAGGCTTCTAGCAGAATCTCTTGTGCTTAACAAGGCAAGGTATGAACACTTTAAGGAATAACACACCATGTGTGTTCGTTGTCCCAAGTCCCTGGAATGTACCACACTGCTTTTGTTATATCCCCTGGGAAAAGAATTTCCACAGTTATGCATCTTGAGAGAAAAAAAAAAAAAGAAAGTGGCAAGAATGTGTCTTCAATTCAGTGTGATTCCTCCAGCAGCATCCATTCAAACAATAATAATACAAGTGAGCAAATTAGACGTTTATGAAGCGTTATTTGGCAAAGACACAGCACCCTGCCTGTCACCATGACTCACAACAGCTCCTTTAAGCCTCAGCTAACAGATTAAGTAACATAGAAATATATGCATTTTTTTTCCTTTTAAAAGAAAGCTTGTTGATATCATCTTTACCATAAGGTACGCTGGGGAGCTTAGTCAAGAATTTGCTGAGAATCATATCCTTATTTTTCACGTTTCCAGGGTTCTTCCTCAACACTGCAGTCAGCTGACTTTCCATTGGTTGCCAGAGTTACCTGAAAATAATTATCATCAGCATCCAGCTTATAGGCCAAGAACCAGAAAAAAAGGGGGGTGGGTTATATGGAGAAGCACTAGATCCAGGGTTGTAATACACAACTGAGTATTGTTTTTAAAAAGAGTTCCTTCCAAATTGATTTTTGAACCTGTCTTGGCATTCAGAAGTGACTTGAGAGTTAAAATATCACAAGTATTTAGGGATTACGGATGTTTTGCAATTTGGGGGATAGCTCCTAATACAGTTTTAGGATTGTGGGGTGTCTTGCTATCCAAAGACCCATCACACAGTAACATAATTTTAAAAATACAGTGAGTGCCATGTGCTACTCCATACAACCACAGAGAGAAAATTCCAGAACTAGACAGCTAGTTCTACTCATGCATGTGAAAAGTTCAGTTACGATGAGGCCAGGTATATCTCACACAGGTACAATTTTAGTTTTTTAATTAATTAAATAACTTATTCATTTTGTGGTGATGAGGATAGAACCCAAGGCTCTACACGTGCCAGGCAAGTGATCTGCCACTAAGCTAAATTCCCAGCCTCTGCTCATTTTAAAAATCAGAAATCATCATGATTTGGCCCTACCAAATAAGCTACCTTTACATTTAAAAAAATTGTTTTAAGGAGACGGGGAGAGTATTCAAAGCCTGAGGTCAGTCATAATAATTCGAATTATTTCAGTGCAGACATTTAATTAATCAAATATAATTATTAGACCATCTATATTATGCTTTCCTGGCTCAAAGCAAACTGAACCCTTATGCAGAATGGGAGGTTCTCCCCTCCACTACTAAGCAGTTTTCCTAGCTTACCTTCTGTCTGTCCTCAACGTCATGTGCAAACTTAAACCCACGACTGATATTCCACATAATGGAGAGACTGGATTTATGGAAGCATTAGAATATGGAGACATGACAAATGCAGCAATGTTTGAAAGAAATCTGACCTTCTTACCCAAGTGGAAATGAAATGCATGCATCGTGAGCATGCAGCATGCTGGGAACAGAGAACCAAGCGCCCTTTGCAAACCAAGCAAATAAAAATAAAAGCCGTTCATTCCTCCCATGCCTATTAGCCAACCACCCTTTACCATTTTGTTTAGGAAGTCCATGCAGTTAGCAATGACTAGGCCACATGCAGTTATTCTGATTAAAATGTAAAAGCTATCACATAATTTCAAGCTACTATTACCAGGCAAGAGTTGAAAATAGACCAACATGACATAACAATACTTGAAGTGGTTAAAGTTTTGACCAGAGCTACAGCAAATTGGTTTCCCCTTCAGTGAACTGTCAAAAAAGTCTGCCAGGGACAGACTGGACAAAGCTGGCTGTTCACTGTGACCTTGAATGTGCTCATTTGGCTCTCAGTGCTGAACCAGATCAATAGCAGTGCAAAATTATCAATCACGGTGTGGTGCCTTTGTAAGAACCAGACAGAACTTGGAGGAGGTGGTTTTTTGTTTGTTTGTTTGTTTGTTTTGTTTTTATGTTTGTTTTATGTTTGTATGTTTGTTGCCTATGCTTCAAGAGGAGCTGGGAAAGGATTTTTTCCTGGCATTTCCTTTCCTGGCTGAACTAATGAAACTTGGGACTCCACTCCCTAACCCATTTTACCCATCTGTGGTCCAATCAATTGAGGATAGAAAAGAAAAAGGGGAGGGTTTTGGCAGGAAACATTTACTTTTCCCATGCTGGCTTAAAAACTGAGGAGACTGAAACTGACTAGAAGAAAGTTCAAAGGAATGAATAAGTATGGCCCAGATATTGTGAAAAATGATGTCCACTCATCCCCATCGCTCTGACTACCTGCTTCTATGTCAGTGTTCACACAGTTAACTGACCTGGAGAGAGAGGAGCCAACTTGCCCATCCCACCAAAGGCTGAGGACCATCTCTTCTTCTCTAAGCTGAACCCAGTCACTTTACTAAAAATGCAAACAGCTGAAATAGTTATTAAGCCAATGATTCTATTGTCATCATCTTCATGACCTGCTCCGTTGGGTCATTGACCATTTAAATGCTAACAAACGAACACATCTATAGGTGGCTGGTTGGATAGTCAATTGTGTGGAGAGACTGAGCTATCTCAGTCTCTATGGTCCATCTCAGACTGGTCCATCTGTATGAAACTGTCCATTAAAAAGGTTACATGAAATATAGCATGGAGTCAAGATGCCAAGAGGATGCATTCAACAAATATTTAAAGAGTACCTACAACATGCCAGATACTGTTTTAGAAGTTGGGACATGGTAGTGATGAATAGGGACAAAAATTCTACTCTTCATAAGCTTACTTCTTAGGGACAGGAATAATTCGCAACCATTTCCTTTTAGATTTTGAAATATTTTGCTTAAAAATGAAGCAAATTTCTCCTGATGTCCTTTAAGAAAAAAAAATCCAGGAAGCTTTACTGTAAAGACATCTCCAGGCATATACGCCTTTATTTTTTTTTTTTCAAAACATGTTCTTGACAATATTAAGAAACCTCTTGAAACATTCCAAAAGGGCTGTGACACAGGCAGTTAACCACTAGGATTCCTCATACATATGACTGTGAAATTAAAAAAAATATATATGATTATTGCCATTTTGTCTCGTGCAATTTTTCCTTACATGTCAATGCTTTGAGTTCAAGCTCTATCTTCTCTACAACACTGTACATTTCGTTCCCTGTCCTCCAGTGCCTAATTAAGGGGTTTGTCAGTAAAAACTTGATGAATGATCAAAATGCAGGATGTCCCAGACATGAGGTGGGGACACTCAACTAAACCTTACAAGGCACATGATAAGTATTTGTGAAATATAATAGAATATAAATCCATTCCATGAGAACGTGGACCCTTGACGTTTCAATGGGGAATAGTGTTTTCACTTCTGGAAAACACTAATTCCAAGGAATGGATCATGCCCTTTAGGTAAATGTGAATTTTTTAAAAATTTAAATTATTTTCACTGAGTTCAATAATTTATGCAATGGCTTCTTGGTGGGTAGGTTTCTTCTCTGATTTGTATCAGAGCTCCCGCTCACCCACCCAGGTACCTGATGCAGAGGAGATAAACAGAAGACTGTGCCTGGTCCACTAGAATTCCAGACCTATGACACAGTCCAGTAAAGAGAATTGCTTCCTTCGATGTCTGTCACAAATCAGGGTATGTATTTGGAATGGCTCAGATATAACACAGGAAAGAATCAAAGATTTAATGTGATTCCATCAACAGGAATCAAAAGGGTACCAGAGAGGGCATGTGGCTCAGTGATTAAGCACCTCTGTGTTCAATCCCCAGTACCAGGTAAATAAATAAATAAAGCTAAAAAGGTACCAGAGATCTGTGGTGGGACCAGATTGTCCTCAGTTGCTTGATGGAATCATTTTTAGCAAACCAGACCCAAGTTGACTCTGCCCACCTGCCAGGGTTTCTCCAAGTTTGCTTTACTCTGGTCATAACACTCTGTCTTTAACAAGGTCCAGTTAGCTACAATGAAGGCTGGGCAGAGCCCATCACGCTTGAAGACTTGGCCTCCAACAGCCTGGAGAAGAACCCAGTACATCCACGCTGTAGAAAAGATGGCGCTGCTAGATAGTTTGTGAGATACCGTGTTTTTAAAAGACTTATCTGGATAATTGTTCTGAAGGATAGCTTTTCTTCACTTGAAATTGCTTCCCTATTTTGGGAGCAAAGTACTGCCAGGTCAAAACTTACCCTTCCCACAAAAAAATAATAAAGAGAAAGCAAAGTTCTATGGGCACACTTTTTACCAGTGTTATATACAACAAAGAGGAACACTCATGCGGTATCAATTGAGTGGTATTTTCTCAATGTTCCATTCAAGGAATGAATAGAAGATTGAGAAGCCAGAAGAGCTCTAGCCATCTCCACATTCTTGGGTAAAACAGTCAAGAAGGCTAACCAATTAGTAGAGTAGGTTGATGCCGGAATGAGAACGGTTGTAACACATCACATGGATGAAACAAGCAACAGATTGGTTCTTTTAGTGTCAGCCTTGATTTCCTGCCATGTTAGACACAGAGTTAGATGAGCTGGGACTCATAGAAGCTTAGGTTACATGGTCTTAAAAAAAAAAAAAACATGTCAGTAATGGATGCAGGGGGTTTTTGTTCTTTAAAGAAGTCGAGCATGCACTACTATATACAAGTCTCGATATCCAGGAATGAAAAAGGTACCTTGCACTCATCTACTATGACAGAGTTGTGTGCGGCATAGACACATTGATTAGAGTTGCTTTCCCTGTGGTTCTTCATGTCATCGTAAATGGACTGAGTCTTGGTCATTTCAATGTCTTCATGCACTCGGTGTTGGGAGTCAATTGTATCCAGCTCAGACTTGGAGAGGTGATAGACAATCCCTGCCCCAAAAGAGTCACCCACGACATTGACGGAAGTTCTCATCCTGTCCCTGGGATAAAGAACAGAAGAAGTTTAATGAGGAAGCAGTGTGACGTGATGGTTGAAAGGTCAAGGTCTAGAGCAAGAGAGATTTGGGGTTGGGTTCTGACTCCACCTTTTCCCTCTGTCTGACCGGGGCCAACTTATTTAACCTTCATGGACCTTGATTTCCACTTCTCTTATAGGCTTGTGTGAGAACTAAATGAAATACCATAGGTAAAGTGTTTAGCAAAAAAATGCCCGATGAATGGTAAAGAACCAACAAGAAACAGCCAAGGAAAAGAGGAGAAGAAAGAATTAGAGAGAAATGTGTCTCAAAACTGGTATCGAGGCTCCAGACACACCTAATTGTGCCTGACATTGTATCTTTTCAAACTGTTCTTCAAAGATTCCATACTACCTCTGCTGATTTTGTTTTATTAATTCTACTAAAAACAACTAAGGAGCTGTGAACTCTTCCATAATAGAAAACTCACCATTTTTTTTTAAGGGTGTAAACTAAGCCTGCCCTTTCCCCCAGCTTGCCACCCCCTCAACCCTGCAGAGATTGCTGTTGGATAGGAAACCAGCCACAATTTTCTCAAATATGTGTTGTGACTGTGTGCCCCAGAAAAAAATAAAAATAATGTATCTTGCTCTTTCAATTAACCTAAAAAAATTGAATCTTCCATACTGTTTCTGGTACCAGAAAATATTAAGAATGCCCTTCTGTCAAGTCTTGAGTTGCAGATTCTGACTTGAAATATGTGATGGTTGATATACAACTCTTCCTCTTAGGAGATCCGTGCCAGGAAGGTTAATTGAGTTCCTAAGAGTAAGTAACGTCCTCCCATCTGTAAGTATGAATCAAATCATTGTGAAAAATCCTTTTAGCATGTTTACTAGGTATTCAAAGTCCTAAAGAGAAGGATTCTGGAAAACTACTAAGCAAGTTTGTAAACAAGTAAACAACACAAAAAAATAAAAGAAAGGAAATTAGGTAAAGATGCTGCTGAGAAATTCTTAGTCCAGGACACTCTAGCCTTCCGTTCAAGTAATGAGTACTATGATTAGTTCCAAGCAAAGTGTAAACTTTAGTTGTTGTTTTTTTTTTCTTGGAACACAGGTATAAAATAAATTCTATTTCCTGTGCTCAAAACCTACATCCAGGAAAGAATAATAATGAAGCTGTACTTTGAGAAGTCTCTCCTGGCTCCTTTGAAAGCCAGTTGTTTGAAAAGTATAAACCAGCTGTCGTGATTTCAAGCAGGAAGATGCTGCCCATGGGGAGGGGGAAAATCAGAGTTGACTCTGAACTCTCAGGAGCATCTCTCCATCTTGGAATATTCTTGCCTTCTTCTGCCCTGGAGAAATCTGCCTGAGGGTGATCACGTCTGTATATAATTGAAGACAAGGTCTTGAGGTGATCCACCAAATGAAGCACTTGAAGTAGATTACTAGGAAGCCCCAGTACAAGGGTATGAGGAGCAATATATGACAGTAGTCATGAAATGCAGGGTGACGGGGAGGAGTATGGAGTTCTCATGTACTTGTGCACTATAGGTGGCGATGCAAGCAGCAATGTATTGCATATTTTAAAAAGCTAGAGGAAAGGATTTGGGAAGTTTTCACCATAAAGAAATGATTATATTTTTGTTTTTGAGAGAGAGAGAGAAAGAGAGAATTTTTTAATATTTTTTTTTTAGTTTTCGGCGGACACAACATCTTTGTTTGTATGTGGTGCTGAGGATCGAACCCGGGCCGCACGCATGCCAGGAGGGCATGCTACCGCTTGAGCTATATCCCCAGCCCCGAAATGATTAATTTTTAATGAGACAGATATCTTTAACCTAATTTAAACATGTAACGTGTATACATGTATTGAAATATTAGTTACTTCGTTAATATGTATGACTCTGTTTTGATCTATCAGTTTAAAATAAAATTGAAAAGAATAAAGTAAGAAAAAGAAAAAAGCATGGATTCTAGAGGCAGACTGACTTGGATTCAAATGCTATATTTGCCCCTTCTGTGTGGGCAACCCTGGCACTTTAGCATTTGTGAGCTGTAGTTGTCTCAGCTGTAAAATTGAAATAACCAGTATAGCCAAATAAAAAGGGTTCTTGTGAAGATTAAACAACATAGCAAAGTGTTTAGACTTCCATTTAGTCCGAACCCAAAAGACATTATTTAATATATGTGTACTTTTAATATTACTCTAAATTTTATCAGGTAAATTAAAATGTATTTTTGGTAGTTCCTTGATAGAACATCCAAACATACCTGGCTAAGCTACTATCCCCCCCCTAAAAACACTAACATCACTTGTAGGAAAACTCCTATGACAGCTCTCCCAACTAACTTGCTGTGTTATCTGGCCATCATCTAGTTGTGGTCTGCTGAGGAAATAGTCAACCATATAATCCAAAATTCTGAAATGCTCCCAAATCCAAAAGTTTTGAGTACCAATATGATGCCATAAGTGGAACATTTCACACATGACCTCATGTGACAGGTGACAGAAAAAAAATGTAGGTTCACTAAAAATATTGTATAAAATCACCTTCATCTGATATAGACATATGTGTGTGTGCATGTATGTGTGCGTGTTACACGAAATATAATGAATTTGGTCTTTTGACTTGGGGTCCATCCCAAAGACATCTCATTGTGTTTAGGGCAACTATTTAAAAATGTTTTTAAAAAACTGAACTCTGAAACACTTCTGGTCTCAAATATTTCAGATAAGAGATATTGAATTCCTCCTTGGCAAGTGTCCAGTACCTTTGACCAAATGTTAAATTCCAAAGAGTGATAAAGTCTTCAAAAACAACTCTCTGAGGACCCATCGATCTCATGATCCAAGAGTACCTGCTTTATTGGAGAATAGATGGGCAAGAGGTAATGGGGTAATAGTGACAAAAATAATGACAATGATTATGACAATTATTATGTCACACTGACCAGGTATAGGAATATACTTTACTGATAGTACCTTAAATTATCCTTACCATAACTACATAGGAGGTACTGTTATTCACATTTAATACATGAAAAAAATGAATTCTGAGGAAATCAAGTGGCTTCCCAAAGTGCCAATCGTAGGAAACTCATAGAGCCAAATTTAACACACACAGTATGATTCCAGAATCCACTGCCTGACACATGTTGCAAAGAAACTCATAGCTACACAGCCCTGATTTTGAATCTAGCTCAGTCACTTAATAACCATGTGATTCAGATGATTTGCTGCTATGGTCCAAATATCTACATCCCTCCAAAAGTTCTATGTTGAACCTAGTCCCCATCATGATAGTATTAGCAGGAGAAGCCTTTGGGAGATGATAAGTTCATGAGCGTGGGGCCTTCAAGAATGTAATTAATGCCTTTATAAAATACGCCCATCAGAGATCCCTTTCCCCATAGACCATGTGAAATTACAGTGAGAACATAACTATCTGCGAGAAATTGAGCTCTACAAGACACCGCATTTGCCAGTACCTCCGTCTTGGACTGCCCAGCTTTCAGAATAGTGAGAAATAACTATTATTTATAAGCCACCTATTTTATGGCATACTGTTACAGCACCCTGAATGGGCTAAAACACTTGCTTGGCCAGAATTTTCCTCATGCAGCCCAAATATCTATTTCATAGGATTTGGGAAAGATAAAATCAGTTCATGACCCATAATTTATACTCAGTATATCCTGGCTCCTTTCCCTTTGTGTATAACTCCCATCCACCATCATGTGGACAACAGCATAAAATACTAAGCTCAAAGTTCATGACTTCTCTGTTTAATAAAGGC